ATTTCCTGCTTCTCTGCAGCATATATGGCTGCCACTGATCCACGACCCACACAGGGAGGAGAAGGAGCCCACCATTTTAGAGTAAGGTGCCCACTGACCATAGGCTACCCCTGCATAATACACAACCTACCCATTCATTCATTCATTCATTCATTCATTCATTCATTCATTCATTCATTCATTCATTCATTCATTTATATCCTGCCTATCTAGTCGATTAAGACCACTCTAGGCGGCTTACAACAAAAATACAACAATGTAATTAAAAACAATTTCATATAAGCAACTTGGTAAATATTTAGATTTGGACGTCTGTTCAATTCACTGTAGCCCTCCATTCCCTGCATTTAGTTAATATCATCAGATGAAACTATCTTTCTATTAATCCAACCGGTGTATTTTTGATTGGAAGAGATCACGAAAACAATGACAGCTCTATTTTGGTTCATGCCATCCATACACTTAGGAATGTGAGAGTTGTTTTCGGATAGACAAGTATAGGGGTGCACAGCAAGCCAAACTGTGAGTGATGACCCTCTTGGGCAGTTAGTGGACAGAGGCTGACACAGCAGTGATTCTGTTGGCTCCTTCCCCTGTGGAATGGTGGAGTGTTTAGAGGGTGCATCACAGACTCGGAAGTTCTGGATTCGAGTCCCCGTTCAGCCATAATGGTCCCTGGGTTATCCTGATCCAGCCATTCTCCCTTGGTCTGACCTACCTCAAAGGGCTTTTGTGAGGCTAAAGTAACGAAAAGGCCAGCCAGGTAGGCAGCCTTCATCTTACTGGGGGAACAGGGAGATAGAAGTCTTAACTAATGAACAAAATAAATCAATATCTCTGTTGCTCCTGGTGCCTCCACCTCTGCAGAGTTTGGAAAAGTTGCTTTTTCAAACCATATTTTCCAGAATCCCCAAACCATCATGACCAGTGGCCCTGCAGGTCAGGGTGGATAAAAATCAAGGATTCCTTAAAATCAACCGGATTTAGATGATGATTTAAAAATTTTAAAAGATTTTTTAAATTTAAATAATCCAAGAATTCATGTTCTAAAAATTGAAATCCTGGATTAAATCAAGCCCACCCTGCTGCAGGCTCGGAGAATTCTGGGCGTTATAGTCTAAGGAAGTAACTACAGTGGACCCTCTACTTAAGGAATTTTTCTAAAAATTTAAATCTTGGTTTAAATCAAGCCCACCCTGCTGCAGGCTCAGAGAATTCTGGGCATTGTAGTCTAAGGAAGTAACTATCCTAGATTCACACCATTCAGAACCAGGATGGTTCATTCAGTCGGCTCTAAATTCTGTTTTCTTTCCCAGTGGGCAGAATTGTGCTCGTGTTCCAACACAGCCCCACAGAGAGCAATGTCTTTACTCAAGCCGCCTAGAGTGGTCCTATGTGATTCAGATAGGCGGGATATAAATTAAATAATAATAAATAAATAAGGAGCCCTTCCCTAGCTGGATTAGGACACCCAGCTTGAATTCTATCTTGTTTTAAGAACCAAAAAACATGAATGAGGCTTACCTAGATGTCCTAGAGCCCTTCTCCCTAAAAATTTATCTGGACAAAATTCCAAAGAAAGAACTAAATTCTGTTTTCTTTCCCCTTGGGCAGAATTGTGCTCGTGTTCCAACACAGCCCCACAGAGAGCAATGTCTTTACTCAAGGAGCCCTTCCCTAGCTGGATCAGGACATCCAGCTCAAATTCTATCTTGTTTTAAGAACCAAAAAAACATGAACAAGGCTTACCTAGATGTCCTAGTGCCCTTCTCCCTAAAGATTTATCTGGACAAAATTCCAAAGAAAGAATGGCCTGGCATGAGTTGACTGATCTGATGAGTCAAGCAATGAATTGTGGCTTACATTTTCCTGCTTATGGCACACACGCTGATGAGTAACAGTATCACCCTTATGCGCCTACCTCTGGGCAAGGATGGGGCCTTTCTCTCTCTCTCTCTCTGTTTGTTTCAGAAGAAATTTCTTGGGAACCCAGAGGGACTGAAACTGCCTCTGTTTTCCAGTTGTGAAGCCTGAAATGGTGGAGACACCTAAAAGGGTCTAGGTGTCCTCTCTGTAAAAGCCACTCAGATCATCACTTAGACCCCAGGTGGAAAACCTGGTTACTGAGCTCTGGAAATGTGTAAACGTGCTTACAGACCTCGCCTTAGACCACTGCGTGTGTCGTACAAAGATCTAAGTGCTGTTCGCACGGGAAGGGAATGGGGGAATGGGGTTTATGTTTGTGCCCCCCTCCTACTACCTTTTAAGGCCCTTCAATAGTATCAGGGGCCACAACTCAGGAGTACTTGAGTCATGAGTAGAACTTGGCAACGTTGTTTTCTTGGGCTACAATGTGCAAAGCCCCCAGCCAGCATGGCCATACATAGTGGTTGGGGGATCCTGAGTATTGTATTCCAAAAATGGAACTTTCCCCAACTCTGGAGGTTACGACAGAAGAACCTCAAAACATTCATATCTTTGTATGTCTCCTGTTATGGAAGTAATTTGGTTTCCGAATGTCATCCTCTGGACCCAGTTTGACACCAGTCCAAAGTTTGGTGGGGCTGTGATTGCAGTTCCTTCTCTCTCTCTCTCTCTCTCTGGACCTCGGTGACTCAGTTGTGCATCTGTGACAAATGTTGTAGCTGTTGGACATGTTTGGCAAAATGGGCAAAGCTGGCTGATTTCTAGCTTTTTGTTTAGTTCCTTTTTCAAGGAAAAACAAAAAAACCGAGAGGGTCAGAAGTTTGACTTCAACAAAAGACAGACTGGGGCCACTGGGAGGGCCAGCTCCACCCTCTGACTCATGTCCACAGGAGGCCAGCACAAACGGCTCACTGCACAGAGGCAGATTTATAGAGGGCCACCCTTCCAGTACGCTTAACAATTTCGACTTGAGCAAAGTAGAGCGGCGTGACTTTTCTCCAGAGCTTGCTGTGGGAAGGGCATGATGCCAGCTCCGTGATGCTGGTTTCTCTGCTGCTGTCTCCCAAATACAATTTGAGGCCCTCAGTCTGGCTGGCATATCAGAAGCTGTTGGACTGCAGTGCCTATCATCTCCAACCAGTATGACCAAGGATAATAGGTTATGCAGCCCATAAATATCTAGAAGGCCACATGTTGCTCACTCCTATCCAAAACAGCTGGGGGATCTACTGCCAAAATTGGTGATCTACATCAGTTGCTTCATGGTGTGAAGATGGCCTTCTTTATTTTGCCCTCCCCAAGCGCTTGTTAGTGAATGTATCGAATCAAAATAACATCAAACTATCACTTATTTTGGCAACCCAGGCAAGGGATACAGAGGTGTTATGTGTAGCCTGCATAATTAACTTGTAAACCGCCCAGAGATGTTTGAAGTGCTGTGGGGCGGTATATAAGCAGCACGCTTTATCACCTTATTCCTTCTAGATACCATTGCTTATCCTTCCCTTCCACTTCAACTGCCTGGCCACATGGCGGGGGCTATGGATCCAAATCCCTCTCACTCAGAAGACAAGGTACTGTAACAGTCTGACTGAGGAGACCCAGGGGAGATAGTGGCAGCAACCTGCGTCACATGGGTTTCTTCAAGTCATGGCGAAATCTCTGGGACATAATCTGGCAGCCCCATGGAACAGGAAACAATAACAAATGGACTCCGTATGCACTGGCCCGGTTGCAGTTTGACAACCCCGCAGAACAGGAAGCAATTTCAGGTGGGCCCTCGACAACTTTTCTTTTTCTTGAGCTCCAGTTTTCTGACACAATCAGAGATTACCTCAAAGCTTTCCCTTTATACTGCACCCAGAGTATTTTATATGGATTTGCAATTTTATTAAGATACACAGTCCTTAGACACCTATTGCTTCCTTCCCAGCGCACAGAGCTGACTCACGGCTGGCTTTTAAATCATGGCGTTGTTTCATCACTCCTACTGACAGGAGCATTTCTTAGTTTCACTATTACCTAAGGCTCATCCACCTGCTCTGGAGGAAATTCAGGACGTCAAAATACATAATATATCCCCATGCTGACTTAGGAACTTCTTGAGGAACAGTCGTTAGATCGTAAGTGGTCAGACAGCCTTATCTGGAGGCGAGGAAGATGCTACAGTGCCTGTCCCATAGAAAGAAAAAGAACAAGACAGGGTGGACTTCTGTTCTTTCAACTAAGGTTAGTCTGGGCCACACGGTGGACTTCTGTTCTTTCAACTAAGGTTAGTCTGGGCCAGTCACCATTTCTCAAGCCGGCCCACCTCGCAGGGCTGCTGTGAGGAAAGAAAGGGAGGAACAGATCTGACAAGAGGGTGGTCCAATTTCCTCTTGAAGGCCTCCAGTGTTGGGAGCGCTCCCCACTCTCACGGTAACTGGTTCCATTGTCGTACTGCTCCTACAATACTTTTTTCCTTCTTCTTTTTTATTTTGCCCTCAAAACAGATCTGACAAGAGGGTGGTCCAATTTCCTCTTGAAGGCCCCCAGTGTTGGAGCGCTCCCCACTCTCACGGTAACTGGTTCCACTGTCGTACTGCTCCTACAATACTTTTTTCCTTCTTCTTTTTTATTTTGCCCTTCTCTTTTCAAACTCTTACATTCATTCCACTCACAAAGAAGAGCAAGAGCATCAGATGCCTGCTTCCCTCCTCCTCCCTTTCCCCGTCGCTCCCTTTATAGAGTAAGGTCAAATTCCTCAAAAGGACACCAAAGTTTATTTTTAGGGAAAGATTGGGGAGACGCTTCCCGATGAATTCTGAAAGGCGCGCCGAGGGGAAAAGGGAACCCTGTCGTGTCACTCATTCGCACGCAACTCGTGTTAAACAAGCGCCTCTTCCTCTTGCATCCAACTTCGCAACGGCCCTACAAAGCAAGCACGCAATACAAGCGTCCCATGACCCATTGCCCCGTAAAAGGGCAACGAGGAGGCAACCTCCAACTCCTTCGAGTTCCTCTCCCTTTCTCTCTCTAAACTTGGGCAGGAAGGAAATCACCGCCGAGTCAGACCGAGAACACCATGAATGTACCTCCTCGTGACTTTCCTGGTTCCTCTCCCAATCGGGCCAGAGGCTCTTCCGATGCCCGGGATCCGCCTCTCGCTAGAAAAGGATCCACTCTTCAGAGGTGGCGCAAGTCCAAAGATCTCCCTCGCAGCTCAGCAGCAGCAAAGAAGAGAGTTTGGTGGTAATCCGTGGCTGAGGTTCTGTTTTTAAAAGCCTGCGCACATTTACGTGGAAATAAGTCCTGCAGAACTCGGTGTGTGTGTGGGGGGGATTTACTTCGAAGCACACATGCCATAAAAGCCCCGCTGGGAGTCTCGCCTTTCTTCTCCCCTTGCGTGCGAGTCGTTCGCAATCACGGTGGTGGGAGATCAAAAGGGAACAAAGTATCTCTGGAACGTCGAACTCCCCAACATTCCATTCCCTCGCTTCTTCTGTCCAAAGGCGAGCCAATCAGCGCTCCGGGACAGAAGCAGGACCGTCCAGTTCTCGAACGCCCAGCTTCAGCATTCCATGTTCGCCCCGCCCAAAAAAGGAATACAACGACCAATCACGGGGCGGAATCGGAGCGTGGGGCGTTTTGTTGAGGGGGGGTGAAAGAAGAGAGGGTTGGTTTTTGTTTGTTTTTTGTTCTTAAAGAATGAATACATCGTTAGCCCCGCCCAAAAAAAGAACACAGCGGCCAATCACAGGGCGGAATCGGAGCGTGGGGCGTTTTTGTTGGGGGGGGGTTGAAAGAAGGGAGGGTTGCTTTTTGTTTGTTTGTTTTTTTTTGTTCTTAAAGAATGAATACATGCGAAGCGATGTGTAAGGGCAGAGAAAGGCTCAATAGCTTAAAGAAAAGTTTCCGTATAAGGATTTTTTGGGGGGAAGAACCAAAAGGCTGAGAACCGGGGAACTATATTGTGATGAGACAAGAAAGGCGGGATCAGAGGGTATGCACAGTTACAACTCAAGTCTGTGGGTTCGCAGAGGCCAGGATAATGTCAAAATCTCGAAAAGTTACCTGTTTTAACTAGTCTGAGAGGCTGGGAATAAATAAATAAATATCCTGTTCTTGAGTTTTTGGATTGAGAAGATTTGGGTTCAAATGCCTAGAAATAAAACTTTCACTGGTAACCCTGATGTGGAGAAAATCCTGCAGCTGACTTGGCAATGGTAGCTCTGATCGTGAGCCAGCAATGTGCTGCTGCTGCAAAAATGCCTGGATATGGAAACACTGATTGGTTCAAAATGGGGAAAGGAGTACGGCAAGGCTGTATATTTGTCTCCCTGCTTATTTAACTTATATGCAGAATACATCATGCGAAAGGCCGGACTGGAGGAATCCCAAACCGGAATTAAGATTGCCAGAAGAAATATCGTTAACCGCAAATATGCAGATGATACCGCTCTGATGGCAGAAAGTGAGGAGGAATTAAAGAACCTCTTAATGAGGGTGAAAGAGGAGAGTGCAAAAAAAGGTCTGAAGCTCAACATCAAAAAAAAAAAAAAGATCATGGCCACTGGTCCCATCACCTCCTGGCAAATAGAAGGGGAAGATATGGAGGCAGTGAAAGATTTTACTTTCTTGGGCTCCATGATCACTGCAGATGGTGACAGCAGCCACGAAATTAAAAGATGCCAGCTTCTTGGGAAGAAAGTGACAACAAACCTAGACAACATCTTAAAAAGCAGAGACATCACCTTGCCGAAAAACTATGGTTTTTCTTGTAGCGATGTATAGAAGTGAGAGCTGGACCATAAAAAAGGCCGACCGCTGAAGAATTGATGCTTTTGAATTGTGGTGCTGGAGGAGACTCTTGAGAGTCCCCTGGACTGCAA